TTGTACGAAACACTGCACGTGCCTTAGTATTACGGGACCAGTGTAATTACTAATAATAATTAAGAGATTATATACGTCTCGTGTATAAAATATTATCATGTTTACGTTACAAAAATTGTATACTGTTTAGAGTTGTATAATATATTATTATAATAATGAAAATAAAGGTTCCGGTATTTTTATGTGCCAGCAAATACATACGATTCATATTATTATTATTTTAACGCCTCTTGATGTGGTGTTTTACGCAATATTATTCAGAAAGACACGCGTCAGTGTTATGATTAATATAATGCATAGTAAAAATAAATATTATATTATATTGACACAAATAAAACACTAACGTACGGTCTCTTACATTTGACAAAAACAAACATAACTAACCGAGCTACTTACCTATATTTATATTCATTTAGTGTGTATGATATAATATCATTCAACCTTGCATTATTTAAATCTTTTTAAATTTTGTCTCGTTTCTCTTTCTCCCGATGTCTTCTTTCGATTGTACGTGTGTCTTCAGGAGTGTGTTGACAATGATAACGTTCCACAATATTTAAAACTCATTAATTATTACATTTTCCATGATTTACTTGTGACATTTTTCGTGGTGTACCTATCCGTTTCGACATGTACAGTTTTTCTGTTAAACGCAAAATTATTGTTAAACCAGCGGTTCTCAAATCATCCTAGTACTCACTGTTATTTTTAAATGTATCATGGATTGGGTTTAGGTCTTAACTACCATTGTGCTCTTCTAACAATATTTTTAGAGTACATTTCACATTATTTGTACTAGATAGGTATAGATAACTTTTACGCAATCAAACAAATCATTAATTATCTCTGTTATAACAGTTTTAATATAAAAATTACAAAGTAAATTATATATACAGGAGCCTATTTAATTGTATATTATTTAAGGGTAAGCGGGAAGGAGGAATGAACTTATATTTTAAGGAGGCTTGAAATTAAATAAATGTATAGGAACCGCTGTCATAGTTATCTGCGCGTATGAAATAAGAGTATGAATTATCCATTCAGACGATATCTCCATGGCAAGAAAATGTTTTTAATTTGTGCTCTATGTAAGCACTATAGATTATGCTTGTCGTGGTAATGATGATAATAATTTTAACACGTGGATATACAAATTACAATACATAAAATTTCGCGTGTGAAATACCAAATTCGCGTGATTTTTATTATTATTTAAAATATACTATATACATAATATACCTATCTGTACTACCTACCGTAGGTATAGGTTACATAGCACAAATGATATTATCGATTGTATATTATGATTATTCTAGCTACGATTAAGATTATTATTAATAATTACAATTACATACGTGTTGCGTTGTGAAGTCATGCGGAATGTCGATATGTGGTACAAAGATAGATAAAAAATTGACAATGTGTGTAAACACTGTACGTTGTGGATTAATCGGTTTTTCAATAACTGTACGCGGTCGCCAAACCAAGGCGAATTGCCTCGACATGCCATTGCGGGTATATGATACCAATATTTAATAACGTGCACATAACTTATATGTATTATGACATGAGCGTAGTTGCAGTTAGGTCAAAAATATATATATTTCCATATTCAGCGTGATATCAATCGTGGCCGATGTAGTTGCAGTTGATTCCCAAGATGTATAACGACCGACTTGTCTGCGAATATTTCCGTCGCCCTTACGTGCAAAATGAAATCTGCAGGCCGCAGTTGGTGATACTGGCTACTTTATCAAGCGCGCGTGTCTCGTTCTTCGCCAGTGTTTTCCGTGCTGTGAATTGTCAATATAAAAATTTGATTACCGAGATATACTGCGATGGTACAGACACTTGTTAAGAGTTTGGAATAATCATATTTATCAAGAGTCGATCTGACGATTTAACGTGAATTTTCGTTAAATTGTACAATCCATGGGACTGTTTTAAATCTGCATAAGCGAAATGTGCATACGGAAAGCATGCTAGGCAAGTATGCCAATCTTAGTTCAACGAAAGATATTCTACTGCAGTCAAAATAGTATAGAACATGCGAAGCGTTTAGGTTTTATGAGGGACTGATGCTTAATTGTCGGTGTAGATTTGACAGACTTTCTTAACGATATTAGTTTGATGTTGTAGCGGGTATGATCAATGTTGTCCTTCGCACAATTTCAGTGGTGTATGGATTAATTTTTATCAGTTTATCAGTATAACAATAATGATAACCACTGCATAGTAAATAAATATATTAATAGTGTTTCTATATTATTGTGAACGGTTGTTTAAAATTAATCAGGTTACTCCACAACGTAGTGACTAGAGTAGCTTTTACCTGGTTCAAAGTGAATGAAAGTAGAATCAACACAATATATATCAATCACCATATTATTCAGCCTACCGCAGATACCTGATGAAATTCGATATTCATAGATAAGCTGGCACAAATTAATACCCACTAAACAGGTTTTCCACGTAAGTGATAGCCGTAAATATAGCAATACGTAACTGAACAGAAGGCACATCAGAAATAATAATAATAATAATAATAATAATAATAATAATAATAATAATAATAAAAATAATTATAATAATAATCACATGTGGTTTAAATTAATACACAAAATATATAAAACAAACGTTATATAGGTATCACATCAAAACATTTTGAAAAACATAAATTAATTTTGTATCAAAATTGTTTCACCGGAAAAAAATTTTTTTGTCTGTTTACGCGTTTAATATAAATTTAAAACGCTAAAAATACTTGTACAAACGCATAAAAATGTTTTTACATACGATAATATGCGGACTGTAAATTTCCAACACCTAACACGATAGTATACAATAATTATTACTATAACGTACGATAATAGACAGACTTATAAATTAAAATATATATATCGTATAACGTATATATATATTATGTAATATATTTTTTATCGCAATGTGTAAGCTCCAGTTGCTCGAAATAATAATAATAATAACGAAAAAAAAATAATAATCTCACTCGATTTCTTTTTTTTTTTTAAGCAGAATAGGTTTTTCTTCCTTTCGTACAATCAGCAGCGATCGTAACAACGATCAGCCGCAATTCGACTCGGCGATGATAGAGGAGTAAGACAAACGAGACAAAAAATAGGTTACATTATTATACTAAATAGTAATAATAATATATATATACGATATGATAATATTAAAAATAATTATGTCTAATAATAAAAAGGGAGAAAAGAGACGTAGAGAGATAGAGATAGAGAGAAAAAGAGGGGGAGGGAGTAAGAGGGATAGAGAAATTTGTCCACTAAAAAAAAAAGTCTGTTCGGAACACAGACGTGTACGTGGATCAAATAATATTAATTTGGGCGTGTTGAGCAATATTGTTGTTGGCGGCGAAGACGACAGCAGTGACCATTTAGCAGAGACAGCGGCGACAACGGCGACGTCGGCGGCTGCTGTGGCTTGACGTCATCAGTGACGACGGCGGTCAGTGCGCTCCAGCCGTGGCCCTGTGTACTAGGTCAGGCCTAGACAGACCGTTGCTGTTTATGTAATAGTCCGATTGTTTGCTGTAGCCATTGGACTTGGACGAGCCGTTGACCGAAGGTTTAGCCTGAGCACCGGCCTAAAAAAGAGTAAGACGAAAAAACACGATAAGGTTAATCACGACGATCATTATACGAAAGATAACGACTATTACTATTGCAATTAACTACTGAATCAAAGTTTTAAAAAAAATATCAAGAACGAATTGTATTAATTGTGAATATACATCGAAATACATAAATTATCGTGTGCGTGTGTTGATAAAAAGAGACGCAAGTCTGCTGACGACTAGTTAGAGAATTTAAGAATTCGTATCGGGTTTTTCCAATGTCACGTCACGTCCATCGACGACCGCCTTGGCTGGCTCCACACATCAGACAGACGTCGGCGGAATGCCACTTTTACTACTACTACTACATGCTTATATTACTTATTATTATCATTATACGCACACTCATACAAATATATAATATAAATTTATGAACCAACAGCGGTTACACGAATCATTTGACACGCGCTTCGGATTCATACAATCTATTGCCAAAAGCAAGACAAATATCCGCGCTGAAGAGTAGGAGATTTTCACATACATAACAATAAGTCGGATCCGGCTCGTAATCCGTTTTATGATACATAGAAGATTCACATATTTAAATCGGTATGGCAATAATCAAAGAAACGACAATAATTAGCGACTTTACGATAAAAAATAAAAAAACAGCAACTATTAAAACGACGCGTGTGCATATAACGAGTTTATATTATATGCATTGGTACGAATTATACGCATCAAAGTAATATTCAGAAGGTCTCGAAACAAAAAATAATGCCATGCGCTATCGCCGATCGTCAGACACGGACCTGCCTCGTTTCGAATAAATGACGCAGCAGCTTCTTAGTGATTTATTTTAAAGATAATCGCAAGGAGTTGATTATCTTCGATATTATGACCTTTTTTTACATATTGTCTTTGTCATATAATCGAGCCAAGTCAGCGAGGGTACAAAAGAACATATGGTTTTTAACAAAAAACAATTCAGACACACGCGCATCATATCTAAGCAATAATTGTAGTTTTAAAACACCACGAAACCGACATTAAGACTTAAAATACAAATGAATAAACATTCAAAAATAATAACAGCATAGGTTACACTGTTCGCATCCTTCTTTTGACGAGACGAGTATGCGATTTCGCAATAGGAAGGTTTTAAATAATAAATGGTTGCTGCGGTGGGTTTTCCCGTAGGTATTAAAAATGGTTAATAATCGTAGATTGTAAGCTTACCGCTTGTTTTGATGGTTTTGTATATTGTTGCTTATAGAACTCTTTGAACAGGAAGAAGAACATGACGGCGTGCATGCCGATCCACCAGACAAATGCCTTCGGGTAGTTGCAGTCGATGAATAGAAGTTGGAACGCATGCAACATGATAGCCAAGAATTGCATCATCTGCAGGGTGGTCAAGTACTTCTTCCACCACAAGTATTTCTGCACATTAGGTCCAAGGGCAGCCAACAAGTAATATGCGTACATTATAATATGAACGAAGGTGTTCAGCAGTCCGAAGAAAGTGCTGTGACCTCCTGTTGAAACAAAGTCGAAAAAAACACGTTATGTCATATTAAAAGGTAGTTTTTGTTTTTTGTAGTTTCCTACAAGTTAACGACAAAAAATCTGCTACATCTGTATAATATTTAAGAAATCTATGCACTGAAATCTTATTATCCGGTGTATCCAATATAATATAGTTGTTATGTTTACTCTCTCGTGGAGAATGCCCTTGATCAGATTTCCGGATGAACCATTCAATAATAATAATACGGTTAAGTCACTATTTAGGCAGTCATATTAATGTTATACTAAGAAAATTTTAGTATAATATTATACAGAAATCTTTGAATATATTTACGAAAATTCTAAAAAATATATAACGATAGTGGGCGCGAACATTATTTTATAAACATTAGGAAGTTTCATATCATAAGGTCTCGGTAAAGGTCACCGCTAATCCTTGTCAACCTTATTATCACACAATTATATTAATAATTATAGCAATTAGATATAGCCTGTTTACCACTGTCGTCATCAGAGGTCAGAACTTGTCGGCTAATTTATTCAACGGTAAAAGTATTAAAACCATAAATGCATTAAAATCTGTTATTATAGTCGTAAAATATTATTTTAATCTTATTTGTTTTCATTACCTGGTGTGAACTTAACTCCAAACCACACACTCATTGGCATCACTCCATGATGAATCACGTGCAGGGTCGAAATGTGCCTATCCTTTTTTCGGAGAACAAAGAATATCTGCATACATAAACATACATTTTAGGCTGTTATTAATCGATTCATATATATGTAATTATAAGATTTGTGTAATTGGAGTAAAAAAAACATTAATTACCGTGTCCATGAATTCTGTGAATTTTGAGAAATAATACCACCAACATATGTTGACCATCTATACAGTCATTCGAGAATATAAAACAAGTATTAGTAAAAAACATAAAGTAGAATGTAAATTTTTGCTTTTGAATTAAAAAAAAACCACGCAAACTTGACACAAAAAAAAAATGTATAAAAAACTATAAAAATAAGTTACGACAAAAACATATAATAAAATACTACGATGACAATGAAAATCTGTCATATGATTCTAAGTATAAAAAAAAAAATTAAAATTTGAAAAACGACGCAATTTTGCCATTAACTCACCCGCAGGGTCATTGGATCATTCGAGTAATCTACCGGCTCACACCGGAAATTATACCTGCCAGTCAGCCAACCTGATATGCCAAGCTGTAAAAACCACCACCGCCATCATAAAATATAATGTACAATTTTTACAACTATAAATTATCATATATATTAATCAAAAATATTATATAATTAAGCTTTAAACTTAAAAAAAAACTAGTTTAACGGTCAAGTAAAGCACAATTTAAGAAGTTATTCCCAAAAATAATGGTTAGGTAGGTTTTATGTTTGAGATTCTTTTTTTACTAATTTTAAATAACGGATTTATCCTTTCACATAATTTTCAATAACCTTTTTTTAATTTGCTGATTTTTGATCAAATTATTTTGACTTTAGGCGAATGAGTAGAAATAATGTATCCTAATTGAATATTATTATATATTATTATTATGATTGATAAGAAGTGTATTATTAAATGACTAAACCGAACTGATGATATGCCATTTCTAAAATCAATTTTATTTTTAAACGACAAAAAAAAAAAAATAGTAGGATATCATTTTAGGATTTTTATTAAAGCATATATTGAGTTTACCAATCGCCCTTACATATGGATTGTGATACATTTCCTCTTAATATATAAATATTTAAATATTTAGGATATTCAAACAAACATACATACATTCAATATAAATCGTAAAACAATATTAATTTTTCCTGTATTCCCCAACATCAAATTTAAAGTCCTTTATAATACAACAATCATACATCAAAATAATTAACCAAATTTATTCTGTTTGTAGCATGCATTAACCAATAATAGTGTTTCTATATGCTTAAATAAATACATACATACATATTATATATATATATATATATATATATATATATATATATATATATATATCATACCAAAACCCAGCTTAGCATTCAATAGATTATGCATTTACAAGAGTAATAGAAATATATTCACAACCTTACTAACAGACGTAATTTATGTAATTTGTATATTTAAAAATTAAATAAAATTATAAACACTATTCTAACACTCAGCATTCACTCAATATAATATATTCACGTCATGCCAATGTAAATATTCTAATTAAAAATTAAGTCCCAAATAAAACTAAACGAAACTTAGTCGTCATGTAAATCTGTCTAGGTATTGTTACACGATAAAATATATATTATTATAATGTGTTATAGTTATGATATGTGATTTAATAGCCAGAAGATATATATAATAGTGTGTTAGTGTTAAATGTAAAATATCCGATTATTTCATATTTGCATCCAAAATTAATTTGAATGGAAACCATGCATTTTCCTGCTTATTGTACGCTCTTATACTTTACCCAATTAATCGTTTTCATTTGTTTAATTTATTCATAGAGTTGTAGGTTCAATTGTAACTATTAATTTGAAATTATTGTATACATTTTTAATATTATTAGTTATTACATTGTTGTTGGCGTATCTCAACGCAGCTCAAAAATTTGTGTCAAGTATAATGAGGTTGATTTTATCAAATTGAAACATGACACATTTCAGTTTTGTCAACTACTCTTACTGTGGACGGTTTATCCGAATAATCTAATGTTGGACAGCTGGAGACTATATCTACCCCACCAGCCGCCCATCAAACACTGCAATGCCCATCAAGTAAATGTATGAAAAATAAATTAATGAGCATTTAACTTACAAAATATAGACAGTAAAGGCGAAAGTTTAAATAAATAACTAAAATAAACAAGTGGTGAAAAGTCTAAACATATATAAATTGTATATGAAATATGTTTTATATTTACAAATGTGGTATGAAAGAGTGGTGTTTTATACGAGTAGTTAATAAGTTAGAATAAACAAAAGACACTAGACCACCTTATCGGATCATATTGTGTAAAAGCAAATGTTATATTATGAGGATGAATTTTAAAACGACATACCTAGACCCAAGAAAATACGATCATTGTTATTTATTGATACATTCTACGTAATATTAAAGATAGAATATTCAAGTAAATTTCAGCCATAAATCAGTTCACTATATTAACGTAAATGACTGAATTTAAAGAAATTAGAAGTGTAATATTTTAGTACTAATTTTCAAAAAGAAAATGTACAATCCCACACTGAAGACAGACACTTTTTAATTATACCTTAAAATACACGACATTATTTTTACACATAAACATATACAACTCTATAACACTAAATAATGTGCATATCAACACAATCAAGTTTGTCAATCTATTCGGATATTTTAACTGTTTCAGCTCACGTTTACATCACAAACCTTTATTAATTATTTAATGATATCCACTTTTCAGCATTCACTAACCTATGATTTTAATATCAGTTACCATTAACAACTGGCTAACTAATGCGAATTTTTGTTCTGTCGCTTTTAATCCTATTCAGTGATTACCTTCAAACGTTTATTCTTCTGATAAACGTGCAACGGTTAGGCGAATTTTCACGAATATAAATGGCTATCCAAAACTCGTTGCACGAAGAAAACCATAATTTTAAAGTTGAGAATAAACGATCGCCTTAAATATTGTTAAAACGATCTTGAAGTGCAGTCATTGTTTTTGTATTATACTTTATTGTTTTATATCACAATAATAACCACGCTTACCTCATAAAACAGCCAAGAACTGAATATAACTTGGAAAAGATTATAAGCGATAAGTACGTTCCTCAACTCCATGGGTTTGCGGTTGGCCATGACCGTGGTCCCGCAACTTTGACGGTGAACATAAGTACAGCGTATTAGTGCCGTAGAAGAGGATTGTCATCAAAACCAACTTGGTACGAGGATCTAGAGAGAATATACAATGTATAAATATAAATATAACCATTAATAATGTGTTACATGAGCATATTATCACAATATAATCTTATAAACGAATTGCTTGTACAGCAATGAAACGTAAACTTGATTTGGTGTTGATGGCAATTTTTCATCTGCAAACGACATTTTCGGTGGCCGGGATCAAAATTGAAATTGCATTTAATTTATCATATAATATGTTATGAATTCGTCAACCTTTCGCAATAGGTTACACGATCAATGACATACCAACGCCGAGCATATTATGAAATCGATCGACGAATCATATTAAAATTAATAATAGCACAATATTGAACGATTAAAAATTGCTTTAAATGATTGAGCAATCGTAACTGAACGAAGTACAACAGC